TGGAGGGTGGAAAGATCAAGCATGAGAATTGGGGGGAAGGGGCCATCAGGTAGTAGAGGAGAGGGTGGAGATATCAGGAAAGGGGAGGGGGGTTGAGGCAGGTGACTGATGCGTCTGTCGTAACACTGGTCGAATATGCTTAAATGTTGCATTGTTCTGGCGTCCAACGCGTATGGCGTTAAATTTGACGGTAGACCATGCTCTGGCTGACACGATATTACGGCTGATTAAGAATTATTTGTAAAAACAAAACAGAACAAATATAGCAAAAACATGGCTGGACGAACACTCCCTATGCATTGGGATTATGTGTATACATCTAGATACTGTGTGTATACATCTAGATACTGTGTGTATACATCTAGATACTGTGTGTATAATCTAGATACTGTGTCTATACATCTAGATACTGTCATTCGTCAATACCAACAAAATATGTATGTCGTAAATGACAAGCAATTTCGAACTCAACATAAAAAACCCAAACTATTTTCAACGCGAAAGTTATACCTATTCTTGACGCCATAAAATGATGGACTTGATTGTCATTAGTTTGTCCAAATAACAAGTATTTTCTGATAATATCGTCGAATGTCCCAAAATATCACTGCAGTCTATTTTGAATTACATTTCACTTGTATCCACACATAGAGGTTATTCTCAACTGCATTCTTTTATTTCTTGTTGAATATTGACAAAGTTTTCACACATAGTTTTACGTTATTATATCGATCTAATATGTTGCAATAGGTAAGTGTTCTAAAGTGCTCACGGAAATAGAAATAAAATGGTTTGGGGCGTATATTTCGTAGTTTTGAACACAACTAAAGTTTGATTGTTAAATATTCTATGACTATCGTTTTCCCCACATGTTGTAAAATCATCCGAAATGAAATTGAAATTTCATCAAGGTCAAAATGTACGTTTCTGATGCAAGCAAGCGTATGCAACTGTGGTATTCTCTGCATACTATATATTCTTTGAAACACTTCATATACCATTCATCCTTTATTTCTTTTTATCCTAATTGATATACAAAATAATTGATTTTGGGATTTTCTTGGTACATTTTTCATGCCTGTACCTTTGTTGAATGTTAACTATTCTTACGCGTTCATTCATAGCTTTTATTGTCAATTACACAGTCGCTATGGCAACGCACGTGCAAATGCATCTTCCCGTCTAAACAGTGCTGCAGGCGGTTGTTACCACCCATTGTTGAATGTGACGTAAGTTATCAATGTGTTGTGAATATGTCAATTTTCGTTATTTTCACCAGTAAAATGCTATTTTGGATGATTAGAGGACCAAATTAAAAGGCCTAGTTGGGAAACAATAGGTAGTTTTAACAAATATTAAAATAATTATATTTTAATAAACAAATAAACGCCCCAAACCGTTTTATTTCTACTTCCGTGTGTACTTTAGGTTGACATTCTGGGTTCCGAGTGCCTAGGTTTGGTTAGGCTGGGTACTGACCCAATGTTTGACCAAAGTCTAAACAACTGGTGCTGTCAAACACACCCCAGCGGTGTGACATGACAGTTATGATAAAACGGAAATATTATTCATGATCAGGGTGCCGTTCCACTAACCGATCTTAGCCCTATGCCAATCGTAAACCCCTAAAATCCCAATCTTAGCGTGACGTTACGATCGGCATACCGTTCCACTAACCAATCTTGCCTAAGTCAATCGTAAAGTTAAGATTCAAAGTCTAAGTTGCTCATGACCAACTTAGGATAGCTAAAATCAATCGTAGAGAAACCAAAATGGTGACTTTCCTATTCTTTGTGAAAAATAAGAGCGAGCATTTCACCGTAAGCGTCCCCTAAAGTCCCCCATGAAATGAATTTGTATATTTCTGTGATGTAAACAAACACTGCACTGAAGCCTTACAAATGTCAGGCCAGTCTGACCACTGTCGTCATGGGAACACAACCGAGCGAGTCGGTGTAACACATTTGTACAACAATATTGCAACGTCATGGTTAAGAATAGGGACAGCCGTAAAGTGAACAATGTTCTGAAGCAAAAAAGATACAAATATGTTTGATTTCACTGCGCATATTTGGTGTGGGATTCTAAAGACAGGCCGCGTGTTATTCAAGACCACTGACAGATTCTACATACGTTATATATAGCCTCGTCACGCCTTGTTTATTCTGATTGACAAGGTTCAGGCACATATTAAAAGCTCTGACACAATTGACATTTTTTAAAGTCCAGACTTAAAACCTGTTCTCAGTATATTACTTATAATCTCGGCTGTAAATAATCTCGTGTAAATTATCTGTACACAGCGCTTTGAGCATGCCCAAGGATGTGGAATAGGCGCACTATAAATATGCATTTATTATTATTATATTATGCTTGATACCCAGCGTTCTCACGCACTTGCACCTGAAACCAAGGTGCTCACTACCCTAATATTTTGCTCTAGGTTTTTTCTCCACCTTTACACTTGGTTGGGAAAATACCCATGAAGGCCCGGGTTAGAATATTGAACTTCAATAACCCATGCCTGTCGTAAGAGGCCACTAACGGGATCGGATGGTCAGGCTCGCTGACTTGGTTGACACATGTCATCGGTTCCCAACTGCGCAGATCGATGCTCATGCTGTTGATCACTGGATTGTCTGGTTTAGACTCGATTATTTATAGCTAAGATACATAGCGTTCACTAACATGAACGCTCATGCTAGTGAACGCTATGCATCTTAGCTAGATTATTTACAGACCGCCGCCATATAGCTGGACTATTGCTGAGGGCAGCGTAAATCTAAACTCACTCACTCACTCAGTTGGTTCGTAAACTACTTCCATCATTTGCTAGACTATGCAAAGGGAGATAACTCGTGCCTCGCATTCCTCTATCTCTCGCACGAAAGAGTCTCGATCTAAGCTTGGATCGGATCGTAAGATCGGGACCGGCTACGATCGGCCTAAGATCGGTTAGTGGAACGGGTGTAACTTTTAGCTAAGACGATTGTAGAATTGGCGTAACTTGCTAAGATTGATCTTAGTAAAGATCGGTTAGTGGAACGGCACCCAGAGCCACGTTAACCACTTGAAAATTCAGACACAATCAAAACCAGAAGAACACATCTTTCCAAAAGAGTTTATTTCAGTAAAACGTGGGTGCATTCAAACACACACAACATCAGCAGGATTGCAACGTATGTAGAAGAAACCAAACAGTCTAGTGGAGCGGTGTTCAACCGAATATAGTGATTGTGATGTGTCAAACAGTAAACAACATACTTGTCCACCCCATTGTATCTATGCTTGAATAACGCCCATTGGAATCGTTTGAACCGAATCGAGTTACCCGTGGATACTCTTAGTAGCCTTCTTGGGACATGCACCTTTTCTTGCCACCAAGTCTGGGAATTCCCTGTGCACTTATAGTACTTTATTATCAATAACTGATGACCTTCAATACCTATAATCACACTATGCAATAGAACATCATTCTAAGAATGTTACATTACATCCTTATCATATCGTCTTTATCTGTAAACCAACCAATCCATATCATAACATAGCAGCACAGCATCCGTTACAATTCAGTTTCGCAGCATCCCATTACTCATCGTCCACTTGCATTCTAAACAAACGCCAATTCATCGCATCAAGCCAATTTTGAAACAGATCATCTTCTTCAGCCCATCTCGCGACACGCCATGTCCTCTATTAAAACATCATCCCATTTCATCCCATCTCACTACTGCATTTCATCCAAACTAGCGATACATTACTCCAAGAATGTAGCGTTCCTACAGGGGACCAATACAGTACGTAACGTATGTAGTTTCAACACACATTTCATCCAATCTAGCGATACATTACTCATTCCAATAATATAGCGTTCCTACAGGGGACCAATACAGTGCGTAACGTATGTAGTATCAACACACACTTCATCCAATCTAGCGATACATTACTCATTCCAAGAATGTAGCGTTCCTACAGGGGAACAATACAGTGCGTTACGTATGTAGTATCAACACACACTTCATCCAATTTAGCGATACATTACTCATTCCAATAATGTAGTGTTCCTACAGGGGACCAATACAGTACGTAACGTATGTAGTATCAACACACACTTCATCCAATCTAGCGATACATTACTCATTCCAAGAATGTAGCGTTCCTACAGGGGACCAATACAGTACGTAACGTATGTAGTATCAACACACACTTCATCCAATCTAGCGATACATTACTCATTCCAAGAATGTAGCGTTCCTACAGGGGAACAATACAGTGCGTTACGTATGTAGTATCAACACACACTTCATCCAATCTAGCGATACATTACTCATTCCAATAGTGTAGCGTTCCTACAGGGTAACAATACAGTGCGTAACGTATGTAGTATCAACACACACTTCATCCAATCTAGCGATACATTACTCATTCCAAGAATGTAGCGTTCCTGCAGGGGACCAATACAGTATGTAGTTTCAACACACATTTCTCATCTGATCAAATTACTTCAATACTGCAAAGGATGCTGATGTGACCAGGACACGTATACCGTTTATTGGGTGTGTATCTTACAGGTGATTTTTGAAGAACTGTGCAGGCACAGCTGTTTACGCACTTTCCATTCTCCTGTTTGCCGATGTTATTGCAATATTTGGATGCTATGTTATTAATTTATAAAAGAGAGTTAATATTCTAGAAATCTGTTGCAACAAGTGGGGACTCTCTGTAAGTACCGACAAGACCACGGTCGTAGAGTTACAAAAAAGGTGGCAAAGTATTAAAGCATTAACAGTGGTAAATTGGAAATGAGAAACTTGAAACTGTAAACTAATATACATATCTGGGATTAACTTTGTCATGTAGAAATATGTTTTCTAATGCTTTTGATGTTGTGTTGCTATCCATGCAAGCCGAGGAAACTCTATCTCCAATCATGAAATTTATCTTTTCCCTTAAAGCAGTACTTCCAGAGACTGGTTTTACAATATTTGTTGGAAAAATCCAAGGTATCCTACTGTACGGCAAGAAATCTGGGGGACAGTGTTTCGACACAACATTGAAATGGTACATTCAACTATTTGTAAATTTGTCTTACGAATTGGTTACCGGTCACCCACAAAAGCTATCCTAACTGAATGTGGACGATATCCACTGCATGTAAATTATTTTGCCAGAGTAATATCGTATTGGATACGGTTGCTCAGAGAGCCCGATTCTCGTAATTCGAAACGATCTTATGTTAAAACGTTTAAAGATGATTCTGGAGATGTTAATTGGACCTCGGCAGTGCGAGAGTTCCAGTATGTTGTTCCAGTATGGTTTGTCTTATGCTTGGTTAAACCAAGATGTTGGTAGTATATAATTGTTCATGTGTATATTAAAGCAAAGATGTAAATATATTTATTATCGAGAGTGGTCAGCTACTGTGACTACTTCCAAATATTTGCACACATATTCAACCTATAAACTTGATATAATGCCGGAAACGTACCTACAAGTGCTACCTTCTGTTCATCTGCGTAGAGCACTGACGAAATTTCGATGTGGTAATTCTGGTTTTAACATACAATTATACAGACGTTTGAAAAATGCAGATATCATAATTGCCATGCGCCCTTATTGTCTTAATACGTTAGAAAATGAATATCATGTCGTTACTAGAATGCCTATTGTATAACGATGTACGAAACAAATATTTACTGTGTTATTATTACACCAGGCCCAGTCATCATAAGGTTATAACTCTTTTAAATTTAAAATCAGCTAATTTATAATTACGTTTAGCTGTGTATTTTACAAAAGTAATGCCTTCCTATACAATCCATGTTTAAATCAATGTCCGGGCACTCAGGACCCTAAACTACACTGTATTATGATTGTCGATGTACTGTTGGCCTCATGGCCATTCGTACAAATAAAATATTCTGTCTAGATCTGACACTCGCTTTGTACAACCTGCATAGATTGAAGGTATGAGTGTTCGATGAGTGTACGCAAGCTACTTCACGCAAAGTGAAAATCAATCATTAAATGTCAATCTGACACACGTAATACATCGCCAGCTCGCACCGCTCGTCATGGAGACCGTCAGTGAATACGGTCATGCAGTTTTCATCCGTTGAATTGGCGGGTTGCTCTGGAGCCCAGAAGGAGTTGACAAGAACCCTGCTGTCTGCCCACACGTACTCCCCTTCAACGGCAATGTCGTCAAGGCCAATAAACACACCTTCAGTGGCATCTACAAAAATATAATAAAAATAATGAAAAATGTTTGCCAGAGCATCACAAATACTAACAAAAGTTAGTCTTTTCCTAAAACAGTCCGTGTCATTCGACCACATTCTTGTCTGATTAAATCTGTTTGACAAAAATAGTTGCTGAAACCGTTCACCGCGTACTTATGGTGCATCTGGATATTCTTCTGCAGTGACCACACCTCTGGGTATGTTTTAGGGGTGCTCGTTTCTCTCTATCTGACCAAACAGAGCTCACTTGCTCTTCAATCTTTGACAGTATTAAATTTGGCTTTGACCCATCAGATCCACCTTTAGTAACATTTCGCTACCATTTTCACCAAGACAGGCCCGACACATTTGAGAGATTTTTTTCTGTTGACATTCGTGTTGACAAGATGAACCCTTAACTATACCTTCCTTTGAGACCAATATATGAAGTCACAGAGACTATTTAGTCCATATTATCACGTGCGACACCAAGCAATTGGCGCTCTGATACCTGTTGCTGTCGAACATTATTCAGAAAGGAAAGTCCCTTGAAAATGCAAACAATAACTGATATTCAGACGGGCAAATGGGCGGAAACACACGTATTAGTTAGCAATGCGCTGAACAGTTTGGGACCAAGACGCTTGAACGACAGGTGTCCGTTTTTTTTATAAATCAATGCGTTTGTATTTACACTCACTTGCAAAGTGTTGCAATGCGTCCAGAAGGCGCATTCGAATGGCCATGTCTTCCAGGACGACCAGATGACCCCCATCACCTTCACAGTCAGTCTTAGCATCAGTCCAGTTCTTCTTCACCCAGCGTGTGCTGTAACATCCTGGCGGGTTGTCCAATGCTATGTAGCCTTTATAGTAGGGACATTCCTCTGAAACAGACAGTCAAGTGTGGATCATCACTTAGGGGAACAATGTTTTACTTCTTAATGACACCATTATTAATGGCCCTGGTCATCTTGTTCTTGGACACTGAGTGGGGTCGAGTTACTCTGTGCAACACTAACTAAATGGTGCAACTTCAGTAACATTAGTTTCTTTTATAATTTCTCGTGCTTCGATAATGTTCTCGTTATTTCGAGTTTCTCTCCACATTCGAAATGTCGAGAAAATATTATAAAATGTTTGAATCAACGAGGAAAACAGACATTTCGATTTTTTATTGCATAATAAGACAACGGTACGAACAAGGAGCAATTAAGCTTGAGAAGAAGTAGTTGGTGATATTTAATAACCTTTATAATCTTAGTCTTGTTTCATGAACAACGATTGTAGTTGAGTAAATGTAGGTAACCCGTGACCTCAAGTATAGATTCTCTGCAATCCATGCTTGACGTAAGAGACGACTTACTGGATCGGATGGTCAGGCCCGCTGACGTAATATACATGTCATCCTATCTCAAATGCTTAACTTTATGTACATGCCAATCACAAGTTTTGTGTGGTTCAGACTGGATTGTTTGCAGACCATCGTCATGTATGTTGTATAATAATAAACAAAATACAAACAATCGAGGATCCGGACATAGGATCCGGGAAGCAAAAGGACAAAACTCTAGACAGTGAATGACAGAAATTTACAATGATCGTTCGTAAATACTAATCCATATCTACCTGAACCACGGTAAAAAGAATCGGACGCCAGGAAGGGACTTAAGATGGGAGCAGGGAAGAAGGCAGGCAACAGGCGACATTCGCCTTGGATGCTGTTGATGCTGAATAGAGCACAGCTGCTGTTCGTTGTCGTTATGCTTGTGCGCATGTTTCTTTAGTCTTCTTTGTAAACTCGGCAATACTCGATGGAGTTGTCATGTCCAAGTTGTCAAACGTCGAGAGCCAATAGTAATGACGACGTTCATTCAACCTAAAAACCACAGCAACATCCAATAATTAGTTAAGCAAATGTTTTCTTCAAATACAAATTCAAGTGTCCATTTAAATTGAAATGAGTAACAAAATGAATTGATTCATATATGGTTTTCCAAAAGGTTATACTGTGTTTACACAAGATTTCATATATTGTAATGATTTGTAAATATGTAAATGAATCTCAATCCAACAAAATATCTAACTTTTGCAAATTGGTTTATAGTTTAATTTACTTAGATGTTGTTATTGTATCCTTTAGGGATTAAAGTTTATAAATTGTCTATTGTTTGTACTGATTGTGATTTATATGTTACAGAATTATTCTTATTTTCCAAGAAGATATTTGACTTGCATCTGAAATTTTTCACTCTGTTTTACAATAGATCGAATCAAATACAAAAGACTGTGGCCCAGGTGCTTAGCAGATATGTATACACTGAGGTCAAAGGATCCATACACATGCAATTAGCTGACTTCTGGAAAATATATCTGATGCAAAGAAACGTATCCCCTTTGTGTCCATTGGAGCTGATCATGCACGTGAACAACTCAACAGACTAATTAAGGTACACTGGTCTCTGTGGCATATCACGGAATGCAAATGCTAGAGACTAGATAGTGGTTATTTCTGACAGCACATCGAGTTGTCATGCTTAACAAATGATTTTGAAGCTGCTAAAGTCAAGGACCATCATGAGCTTGTGCCAGGTGTTATCCGGCGGGACCAAATTGCCGTTGACAAAATCAGATAAGGTATTCTGAGTCATGGGAATTCTTTTACTGTTGAAGGGGACAAGCTGCAGAATCTGATAACACATGCCATATTCAAGATCAGTAGGTCTCTCAGATATTCCGAGCAAAAAGTTGTGTGGAAGAATATGTCGTAGAAAGGATCAATGGAACAGTCAGCCTTAGGGCTCCACGAAGGATCTCTACATGTCTGATAAGCAGAAAACACACAGTGAAACATCGAGACAAGGTTATGGACCTGAAAGAAACAAAGGACGTGCATGCAAGATCAAATTGTGATATTGACCTGAAACATGCTATGAATTCACACTGACACCAAGAACATTATTTTCCCCGGACGGCATGCTGTTGCAATGTACAGACAAGTCAAAACTCATCAGTTGCCTTGATCCAGAAATGACCTATCAACCTGTCCAAAGCGACTCTACAGTGATAGGATTGCTGTAGTTGATGGTATGGATCTTCTTCAGAAGATGACACAGTTACCTCCTACAGCGGAGACAGTAAAGGATCACAGTCAGTGCTTCATTAACTGACTGATGAGCCTCACAAGATAATTTAATGAAGTCAGTCTTGTGACCATAAACCTGCCTCACTTACATGGTCAACAAAAGAAAAAAGACGTTATGGCAAGGATCCAGCCCCGAACCAAATAACTGTTGAAACAAGAATGAAGCACATGAAATTTAAGCGATTCTTATCTCCACTCACTCACCAAGTTACCTTTTGGCAGTACCTCAGCAATAAAGACCGTGGAGTACAGCAAGGTTCATCAAAAAGAAACAGCAGCATAAACATTGAGTCAGTCATAACCATGAAGAGGCTGACACACTCATGATCTACCAAGCCATCTGTGCATCTCAACTAAACTTGTTTTTCTTCTCCCCAGATACTGACGTCCTCGTCTAATCATAGAAATTATGATCGCCTGCCAGGAAAGACACCAATCTCCATGGCATCAGGTGAAGTACAAATAATGCCTATATGGAAATCACTTTGGGGTTGAAAAAGCGAAGATCTGGCAGCCTTCCATGCATTGTGGGGATCTGATAATGCAGGTAGATTTTATCTTGAGTTGGGAAGACTACTTGCTTCAAAAAGTTTCTAGGAGCCACCGAAGACACTGTTGAAGCTTTACTGTTGTTGTCTTGTAGAGAAGATCTTGATGAAGAAACAGTTTTAACATTAGATATATTTGTATGTACTGTGTATTGTCTAAAACAATCACCTTGAATAAAATTCCAGAACTCATATGGTATCTCTTTTGCAAGCATACGGCTGAAAGTGACAGGTTCCCTCCAACACTTGGTGCCTTGAGATAGAGTTTAAATGAATCATGGGTATGGGCTCAAGTTCATGTTGCCAAACAAGTCTTCTTGGACCCAATGAGTTACAGGTTTCATAAGGATAAAGATGCTAAGCTTGGGCCAGGCACCACAGATGTTCTTCCTGCTCCCCAGATTTTTCTTGAGATGGGATCGATGCCAGTGCAACACAGATTGTTCAACTCAACGATGTACATGCAAATCAAAAGATTTACCATGTACTGAATGGTAATCAATGTGAGAATGACGAGTCTCAAACAGTTCCTGATGATAACTTTGATGTACTGATATATATATCATCAGGATGAGTGTAAATAGTTGTGGGAAAGACCTCTCCTTCTGGTGATATTGCAGATATTGACTTTCATCATTAAGTACAGCTTATCTATTGAGAATGATAAGATGTAGCTAAATGAAATCATGGTGATATTGATGAATTATGCTGTAAAAGTGTGTTGTAACATGTGGTGCTTGTGGATGAACAGGTGCAACATCTGGACGATAGACATTAACCTATGAATTCTGTGACATTGCGGACATTCATCTTCAACCATTTGTTTCTGCCACTTTACACCACTAATCAACACGTTAGTAGTTTAATCTCATTTAATAACTAATGTGGATATTATCATAACATTCATAATATTCTTGTATTCCACACAGAGCAAAACCAGTATAACAATATATAGGTGTCCGGAGGTTCGAGTGTATGCTTATTTATAATAAATAGCTGATATATAACATATAATGTTTCAATCTGGTACATTTTCCCTTCATGTATACACAGTAACTAGCATAATTTTTTTTCAAATATACTGAGTCAAAAAAGAAACCTCACAAAATGTAATTTGAAAAACAATGAACAATTTTTCTCTGATGATACATCTATGAATCCGAAATGGGATCCCTATCTTTCGACTGTAGAAAAACGTGAGCAAAACCGACTCATACCCATCCATTCGTCGTGCAAATGACGTCAGTGCCAAATCAGGTTTTGCACGTGCAGTCGATCACGTGATCTTCGCATCGAAGTTTTCTTCATATACACGTGTTTGAATTGGCCTCAAGAATTGAAAAAACACTTTTAAACCACAGTTCTAACGGTATTTGAAATGCCACGATTGTCAAATGTGCGGCGTGAACGTGCCGTTGGCATGTTGCAAGCGGAAGATCAGTTATTGACGTCGCATGAGCAATGGAGTGCAGCCGTCGTACTGTGTATGCAACTTTGCGATGTCGTCTACAACAAACTGGCACCACTTCCGATCGCCCAAGGTCGGGTCGTCCACGATAATGACGTCACGAGCAGAAGACCGATCAAATCGTCCTACGTCACCTACGTGACAGATTTCCTGCCGGCTACGAACCAGGGCTGAGATGTTTACAAGGTCGACTGTCCTCACCAGACCATTCGAAATCGGTTGCGGGATGTAATCTCCATTCTCGACGTCCATATCGTGGGCCAATATTGGCGCCGTTTCATCAACGTCAACGTCTGCTGTCGGCCCAACGTCACCTCCGATGGAACCAGAGACTGGAATCAATCGAGTCGTCTTTAAGCAACGAATCGAGGAGTTTACCTAGAGACGACGTCGTGAACGGTAAGTATGCCAATATTGCGTACAGGAAGTCGACAGATTCGAGGGCGAAAGTTGCATGGTGTGGGGTGCTTTCTGTGGGAATAACCGTTCCCCGACTTCTGGTCATCCGTGGAAACCTCACAGCTGCTGCTTACCGCGACCAGGTGCTCACCCTGAACTCGTTCCTTTCATATGGCTCATGGCCGAGGTCTACAGTTCCAGCATGATAATGCTCGGCCGCGTACCGCTATCAATAGATGACCTTAATCCAATAGAGCACGTTTGGGATGCACTGCCAGGAGAAGGCTTTGTGGTCTTAGGAACCAACCTCAGAATTTGCAGAACTTGGCGCTGTCTTGCAAGAGCAATGGCGCAGAATCCCCAACCACGTGTTCTGCAAGCATCAGGCAGTCGATGAGGAGACGGTGTTTGGCAGTGGTGAATGCGCGGAGCGGCTATACACGATATTGAACTGAGAAATTTCACATTTTTATTCTTGTGACTTGACATTCTGTATACCCATGTTTTTGGAACGGCGGGGTGTAGCCCTAATGGAACTGATTATGGCACTGTAGTGTATCGAGTACATCACACTAATCTCAGCAATGAAATAATAACAATTTAACCATCTTACCATCTCTTGTTCTTTTATAGTGCCCTGAAGAAAGAATGTGAAGTTTCTTTTTTGACTCAGTATATATAGTGGAACTAGAAACAAAATAGCATTTAAAGGTGAAGAAAAGGTTGCACATTATTGAAAAAATGGGAATGACTTCTGAAACATAAAGGTACTTTACAGTCCATCGAGTACATCACACAGATGGGGATGATGGGGAAAATTGGAAACATTGCTTTTTATGTTAAGTGTAGTGAGTGGTTTCAGATTTTTTCCCGTCATCCCATTGGCAGCCATCTTGGATTTCAAAATGGCCGCCAATGGGATGATGGGAAAAATTGGAAACATTGCTTTTTATGTTAAGTGTAGTGAGTGGTTTCAGAATATGCATACTGTTGCTAATCTCCAATTTCTTTGAGCGAAAATACATTATACAATTGACTATAAAGTACCTTTTATGTTTCAGAAGTCATTCCCATTTTTTCCCGAACTACGGGGTTACACGCTCTACAGAGCGTTGAGTTGAGTTAACTCCCAGGTGATAAAGGTCGCAGCCAACTGAACTGTTTGTTTTGCATCCTGTTGGTTGTCATGAAAAAAGAGGTTTAGCTTATCTTCTGTA